CTTTAGTATAATGTAACAACAATTTACTTTTTCCACACAAATAAAAAAACAACAATACACACAGAATCAAAATGTTTTCAACTTAACTTAAAAAAAAAACTAAAGCCGGCACTCACTAAAACTACCCCAGTTCTCCACGTTGCAGGCCTGAATGTAGCTTGAGTGCGTTGTAGCCTTAAATGGCTATTTTAACCAACTGGATAATGCACAGGTACCTTTATGATGCTGCACACCTCCACGTGCAGGTAACAGACAAGATTGGAGAGAGAACAGGAAAGTCAACCTTCTGATGAGAACGATGGTTTAAACAGCAATCGGTGTCAGCACGGTCCTCCTAGGTATGATTCTCGGTCCTGTAGGCGTTGCAATAGAGTTAGCTTGTTGCTAACACCCCCAGCAATGTCCACGTTAGCATTAGCTACTGGTCTAGCAGCCAATAAACTTAGCCTGTGGAGTTGTACACTTCACAGAAAACTTTGTCCGTTTCCTAGGCTTATGAAAGCGTTCTGTCCGTACACTTTCTCCCAAAACAGCAAAAGTTACTTATCCATCCGAGATTCACTCTTACTCCCACGACACGTTCCTCCGTTCACCCCAATCTTCCTTCTTCTTCTCTCCTTTTTTTTCTTTTCTCTCCCCGGCTCTAGCTCCACCCACACCCTGCTTCTTTTTCTCCCCACAGTTTTAAGGCTCTAACAGAAACTTAACCAAACTTAACTTTGGTTTTTAYAAAATAACAATGAAACACTTCAATATGTTCAGCATTTTCAATCCAGKTAGCAAAATAAAATTTACATTTACAATTTATACATTTTTTGAACATGAACTTCACATAAGAAATATTAAACCTTTTTAATCCTATTTATTCTACAAATGAACTTACTTTTTAAACTGTTATTTATCACCCTTTATGTATTTTAAGGCCTAATCTTCAAAGGGCTACAGTAGTATTGTCTGTGGCTTTGTAACTGGGGTCCCTGGACAGAGCTGTTTGGGGGGCCGTGGAATGAAACAGTTTGTGAACCCCTGATCTAAACTACTTACCTGGTTTATAAATTCTTCAACTAAACATCAGGGCTGTCTGTCTCTGTCTATTGTTTTTGCTAAAAATGAAACAAGTTAATTTAAAAGTGAAATCTGTCAATTTTTGATTTCACTCATTAAACACATGATTGACGGTGTTTCTGTCCTCAGGTTGTCCTGCTCAGGCCGTGGAGTGCAGAAACCCATCTGAAGTGTTTCAGGGATGCATGAGGCTCCTAGCTCTGGACAACCAACCTGTTGATCTGATTAAAGTGCAGCAAAGACTCCTGGGAAACTACAGCCGCCTGCAGATTGACATGTGTGGCATCATTGACAGGTTGGTAAAAGTAACGTTTGAATTATATATTTTTTCTTTTACATGTTCATTCTTTAATGACAAACTGATTTTATATCCATTATTTTTGAAAATAAGTCTTCTGTTTACTGTTTTATTCCAAATTAAGATTTCATATTTGATGTGGGATTAGAATATCAATGCTGGTGTCTGTCCCTGGTTCAGTGTTTTTCTGTTTTAATCATCTGCATAGCTGCCATAATAATAAAGAGGAAAACACTACAGAGGCTCATTAAGTTCACAGGCATGATAAAAATATTTTTTATCGTGCTGAAATGAATAATGGTTTTGATCTCAAGTGAAATTTTTGCTAATTGTGATTTTTCAAAATAATGTTTTATTTATTTATTGGTCTTTTTTCTCAGTGGTCCTTCATGCCTAAATGTAGAGAAAACACCATTAATCACCTAAACTGGTAATCTTATTAAGGATTGTGTTCGATTTATTTCAAAAATACACAAAGAGGGAAAAAATACATTTGTTATCACTAATAAGCTAAAATCCAAGTAAAACTCGAAGATTAGCATTCTGCCTTAAACATTTGGCTCAATGTCATTTAAATTCTGAAGGGAAAACTGGGGGAAAAAACAACGTTTTTCTTTCTCTGCTTACTATTGGCAACTTGTCTTGTCTTGCTGGGATTGATGTTCCAGAAGTTTAATTAACGATTAAATGAACTGACACCAGTGGGAACATTCAAGTAATGACACAGTCAGAGACTTAAATGATCTCTTTTATAAAGGTCTGAAATCAGAATAAAAGTTTCCTTAGTGCTTGGATGTGACAAATGTAAAAGTTTATGGCTTTTTGTCTCTTAATTTATCCCAAGATCTGAGGTAAACAGACAGGTGGGGCGTTAAACTCCTCTTTTCTTCTCATCATTTAAACCCAAACTAATCCTTCTGTATACTAAATGTATCTCTCTATTTTCTGAATCAACTTGTGAGTGACAAATTAGATTTTTTTATAATTAAACAAAAAAAGTATTAAAAGAAAATCCATCCATTTGGCACCAGAGCAGGCATTTGATTCGCTATTTGTTCATCTTTTTTGTATTAAATTTAAGAGGCTGGCAAGTTTTCTGTTTGTTGAGCTAAAGTAAGTATTTAGTGGATAAATTATTAACATTTTACTTCCTTGCTGAAGTGGCAATTAAATAAAACAGTTGATTGGATTTTCATTTAACTGTCTTGGATGAACACAGACAACATGGCACTGCTTTTCTAGCATTTGGTGGGAAGTGGAAACACTGGAAACAGATCAAATCAAATTTGCTTCATTTGGAAAATTATTTAAAAAAAAACCAGTTGAACACAGTTCCAGTTTCTAACCTGATAAACAGGGAACAAGTTCCTTTGTGTGACTGAGCGAGTAAACGATTTAAAGCTTGATAAATGAAGCTGTCAAGGTGGTAATTCTGACCTTTTTGTTATTATCAGGTATTCAACAGCATCATATTATCAGTGGTGGATTAAGTACTTCGTTACCTTGAGTCAAAGTACTGGTCAAATATTATACAGTACCAATAAAAGTAAAAGTAGCTCTGTCAAATTATTACTCAAGTGAAAGGATTAAGTGCTTTCAAAAATACTCAAGTACTGAAAGTACTTAAAGTTTAGAAGTTTTTTTGATCGTAGACGAGAATAATTGGATTTTTTCTGCTATATTGGACAGATGAGTAACTATAATAATAATAATAATAATAATAATAATAATAATAATAATAATAATACATTAGTCTTATATACCACTTTTCTAGATGTTTTACAATTCCATACATTATTCAATCCAGCTCATTTAGTCTCTACATAGTCACCACTTTAAGGCTTGGACAAGATTTTGATAGAACCAAATATAAGTGACTAATTCATGTGCTCAGAAACTAATCTGAGCTTTTTATTTATTTGTAATATTGTAAGCCAGCTACTGATGTGATTAATGAAAAGCCGGCACCGGTAACTGAGAGGCCGGTACTGGCAAATGAGGAGGAGACTATTCATTTGCGTTAGCATCGGAGAGGCTAGCGACTAGCATACCTAGGCTAGTAACTGGATTGCCAACTCCTTCCACAGTTCCACTGTTCATTAGCATGGATAAGCTGGCAAATCATTGGAGAGGCTAGCGTCTACAATGCATCGGTTTCTCACCTACTTTATTAGACACAAACTTTTTTGAATAAAGAAAACTTCCTCAACAAAAATGGTTGACAAAACCTATAAGTGACATGCACTGACAGGCAATCCAGTTTCTGGCCTAGGCATGCTAGTCGCTAGACTCTCCAATGCTAATGCCAGTTTATCCATGCTAGTTGCTAGCCTCTCTGATCTGATTCTAATGCAAATGAATAGTCTCTTTCTCATTTGCCAGCTCTGGCCTCTCAGTTACCAGGACCAGCTGCTCTGTTAGCGGTGCCAGGCTATCATTAATCAGATCAATAGCTGACTTAGGAATAGATATAGCCTCCTGCTACAAGGATGCAGCAATCGCTGTTGCGCATTAGTCGTAATTTTGGTCCTCATACCTCGCCATAGGTCCCAATACTCGCACTACACCCCACTCTTTATTTATAGTTGGCAGACTGAATTAAGTGCATTACTGCCACCACTAGACTTGGTGGGCATTGCCATATTTCTGCCTTTTAATTCAAAATGTCTCATAGAGTGGTGAAATGAGGGGTTATACACTTCACTGAAGTCCACTTGGATGCGGGCTTAGCCAAAGTGTGGATCAAGGGGGTACAAAGAGGGCGGGGGGAAAGACCATTTTGGATCACTGGGACACATTATGCACTTAAACACTTCAGTGGAACGCACATGGGTGGAAGTGCAAGTACTGCAACCGGGCCATAGTGTACCTACAAGGCAACACTTGTAGGACAAAATTCTTCTTCTTCTTCTTACAACCAGTTTAAAGCTGCATATCAGCACCTACTGTATCAGGGTGTAGTGTGCAATTTTAATGTGTCTGTGGAACAAAATTAACGTAAACTACACAAACATGCGCAAAGAAAGAAAAGCAAAGAAAGTAACTAAAGGTTTTAGAGACATGTAGTGGAGTAAAAAGTATTATTTTGTCATTAAAATGTAGGGGAATAAAAGAAAAAGTAAAACACAAAAAATGTCCCTCGCACAGTGACTGCTGGATATGGGCACCAGTGACCCCCATGACCCTTAAAGGAAGAAGCAGGGATGGATGGATGGATGGATGGATGGATGGATGGATGGATGGATGGATGGATGGATGGATGGATGGATGGATGGATGGATAGTCTGTGTGACTGGACATTTGTTGGTCTGTTTGTCACTGTCTGTGGTGCATGACTGTTACTGTGTAACAGTTCAACAGTGTGTGTGTGTGTGTGTGTGTGTG